AAGATCCCATCGCTAATCCTTGTGTCTGTTCTTATAACTTACCATCAAAGGTACAATATGTGGTACTCATACATAGATTAATAAGTCTAATAATGGAAGCAAATCTCAGCCTTACTCCTTGTGTTATCTCTGGATGTTCTTCCAGTGCTTGAATAGCTCCTTGCACACAGGAATGTTTGTGTACATAGACACAGCATTAAAACTTACTAGCTTATCCTCTTCTGAAATTGTCTGCTGATCTAGCACAATAAATAAGGCTGAGAGTTGCTTCCATTATTAGACTTATTAATCTATACATGAGTACCACATATTTTACCTTTGATAGTAAGTTATACAAACAAACGCAAGGATTAGCGATAGGATCTTGCGTGTCTTCCATCTTAGCGAATAATTTTATGACAAAATTAGAGGAACACTTCCTGCAAGAGGCAATACTAACACCCAAATTGTGGGTTAGATACATGGATGACTATTTCGTCATCTGTCCTCGTGGTAAGGGCAATTTAGACATTTTCCTATTTTCACTCAACCAGCATGAAAGGAACATTATTATTCACGATGGAAATGGAAGAAAATAAATCCTTACCTTTTTTGGACGTTCTCATCATTAGAGAAGAGGGTAGGTTAGGAAGAGATGTTTATAGGAAGCCTATGACCAGCTGATATCTAAACTATAAATACAAGGATGGTGTGGCCTTTTGTATGGTCGCAGCCTCCATTTGTTGCATAAATTTGTTTGACCTTGTTTTCGCAACTTGCTCATATTGGCAGGAAGACCTAGACGAACGCACCTTGTCCGGAGTCCATAGTATGCAGGAAAACTTTCAGACGGACCATCGGATAGGTACATTACCAAACGTACCAAATCCACGGTCCGTCTGTAAATTATCATACATACTATGGACTCCGGACAAGGTGCGTTCCTCTATATCTTCCTGCCAATATGAGCAAGTTGCGAAAACAAGGTCAAAAAACTTCTATATTGCTCATACCCTGTTCAAAGTTCTTTACTAGCAATAGGAAAACATAAATATCCGCTCACAAATTTCATCTAGACATAAAAACTATCCCTTTCCACAAATGTACAGAGGACCTCTAAACTTCTAAAACGCCTAATGTGGGACGAAAATCGTGCCATACCTTTGAGCCATTTTGTCTTTGTTTGCAGTTTTTGCTTATTTTTAAGTACAAAACTAGGGTTTTCACACACATATCACCCTTCGTCTTAATTGGCTCAATATATCTTGACTGATTAACCAACTAGTTTAAGCGATACGCCAGCAAGTTAGAATGAATACGGTGGTGGCAACAAGTTTCATCTAACAATTCGCTTGTAGACTAAATATTAATCCAAGTAACTAAGTATGGAGTGGATATAAAAATCAAGTCATTTTTGAAGTGAAGGAGCAGAGATATTTTTTCCGAACCTTCAAAGGAACAGAACCCAACCTAGCTTCGATTTGGGGATCCTTTCCAGGCTCTTAGGAGAGAGCCGATGCCTCGACCAGCTAAGAATCAGAGGATTTTTTTTATAGAATGGAGGTAGGGGTTCCCGAAGTCTACGCTTCTGAGCATAGGAAATCTGCTCTGTAATGCGAATTTGGCCTTTAGCCATGAGGAAGAAGTCAACTAAATTAATTTTCAAAAGCAAGACCAACTAAGACCTCTTCCTGATAATCTGGAGCCAGATGGCCTATGCACAAACCACGAGGTTCAGACTAATAATTATATTAGAAAGAAATGGAGCGAATGAACCATCAGATCATGACTAAAACTCCGTAGGGAAAAATGACAGTAATAAATTTACCATGCCGATCTTTAAATAACAAGGCAAGGCATTTGGTGGATGGAGACCAAAATTTGTCAGCCCTTGAGATAGTATACATGGGCTAGCATAATTTACCTTTTAGATATAAATAGATGCTTATTAATAATGGAAGACTCAGTGCAATTAGTATGAAGTTCAAAAATTATAGTTACCTCAAAAGTAATCATGGAATACATGCTTCAAATTAATATTTTCTAGAATGGGAGAAGCTCAAGACCCTCAAAGTCCATACTTCTCGGTTGTCATCCGTAATCTTTTGACAAATTTTTTCATGATATTTGTCAAACAAACGAACACAAGTTCCTGCGGATGCAAAGAGTGACCAAATTACGCAATTTTATATTTAGGAAGGTGGACTATCATACACTACCTGATCGAGGTATTGAATTATATTGAACAACGAAACAAACTCAGCATAGATCCCTGCTTCCATGAATTAGATGGCTTTGATCAGTTCTCCTTAGTATAGATAAGGGCACTCTTCCTGCGACTAAGTCGAGCTATCAGGCAATGAAAACACACCAGCTTACTCTTATGCACGATAAAAATAACCCGGGCCTGATGTTTTTGGTAAGCCACAGAACAAGTTGGATCAGGTTATCAGTCAAACCATAAATTGATGTGATTTTTATAACGTTTACAAGTGTTTGAAGAGATGAAGGCACCAACCACGACCCTAAGTGGTTAATATAACTGGAGGATCTGCGAACGGTCCTGAAGGTTTATGGTTAATTTTCTACCAGCTCCCTCATAAAAATGCCGAAGCATGCCCGATCAGGCTGCCCAGTTTTTCAGATAAATTCGGACATATGAGGCTCTGATGGTTTTAAAACACTATCTTAGTAGCACCCTTGTTCTAGTTAGCTCAAGATCCTATCCATCCACAAGACATACCACAACCATCAAAATACTAAATTCGACAACGCCACAACCCATATTCAATTTTAAAAGTACTCACGGCATACCTAACGGAAGACTCGAAGGCTATCGCTGAAAGCATATCTATTCAGAACGTCCCAGGATAATAGCTAAATATGTTAGTCATGAAGGTCACACCCTGACTCTAAATTCTGGCTGGATTCAAATTAGGGGTTCTGATTTTACGACGCAAGTAGGGTGAAACATCACGGTTGGAGAATTGTGATAAGGCGAAGGCTCCAGTTGAACACAACCCAGCCGCGATTAGGTTATCAGTCCCAGGTACTTATGCCATGCCAAAGCCCCATCCAGTTCGTAGGTATAAAAATATCAGATGCGAAGTCCTAGTTATTACAAAGATCACCAAGGCGCCTCAATTCGCAGGTGCAAACTTGCAAAACAGTTATCACAAGTGCGTAAATGCTAATCATTTGAAAGAGCGGGACTTATAAGAGTAAATCGCTAAATTCAATGATGCAAAGACCTGTTCAAAATAAAGTCAATCGGATTTGCGATAAGTAACTAGTCACTAAAAGGCTCGGCGGCCGATTCACTTACTCTCAGATCCTGTTGACGTGATGAGGATACTTGACGAGAGATGTCAAAATAAGAGGTAATCACTGGTTCGTATGCGCACAAGTATTTACAGAGGCAAATAATAGTAAAATATCGAGCGGCAAAACGGGCACCGTGATATCCATCCGGAGTGAATACAAGTCTCCATTTCTCAAAAGAGTTAGAGATGAGACACTAGCGCATATGTTCTCATGAAAACCCCACCGAGGTTAGAGGCAAATCACTAAATGTAATTTCCCATAATTATGAAGTACAACGCTCATACATCTAAAGCAATGCAGTGGCTGAGCTTTCAGTTGGTAGGAAAATACAGAGGAGCTAAGAAAACTTCCCCTTAACACGATAGGCACAAAGGCTATCATAGAATAGGTACGCGACGAACCGAGAATCCTATCTATGCAAGATACTTAGTTTAAAACCCATACCGGCACCCTCAAACAAAGAGGGAATAAGCGAATTAATGTTCGCAAAATATACTAATTAAGAAGACGATAAGACAATCAAGCTATCTCTATTCAGAATTGCGAATTAGTTGGATGATCCAGAAACAGCATGCGGAGCCAAGATAGCATATATGTTTGTCTTGGATTTACAAGGTAGTTGACTTGATGCCAGTTAGTCCGATTTTCGCAATCAAATAAAACATCATTGAAATTGTGGTTTCCTGCACCTAAAACAAAAGAATAGTTATGAGAAGCAAAAATGGAAAGAGCCTAGGCGAAGACGTTACCTTAGACTGATAGCGAATTCAAATATAAGCTCAACGAGATAGTCGTAAGAAGAATTAACAGAAGTGTGGATCTCATAAAGTGTAAAAAGCCTAAAAATAGGAGAATTAGTAAAGGTATGGTCGTGAAATCATTTGAATGTAGTTAGCTTACTTGCTGCGCTTGGTGCAGGCGATGTGCTTGAATTATCCCCAGCCTTGGGAGCACCTGTTGTAGCCTTGTTTGCATCAGCGGCTGTAGCTGCTCCATCCTGACCGCCTAGAAGAGGAAAACGTTTTGCAATAAGTAATTCTAAAGATAAATCCAAAATAAGTATTTAGATGGATTCAGAACAGACAGGCAAGTGATATTACAATCCCAAGCACAAATGCATGTGCGATAAGATAGGATACTTTAATCATGTCTTGAGTGGAATGCAAGAAAAACTGCAGTGAATAAAGATTAGATTGATCGATCGATCAGTTCAAAATGTGAATATGTAACCATCGTTATTGGAGAATCGCGGAAACTACAATAGGTCCTCAGTGAGCTGGTTTGAACAAATTAACGTTGTTAATCAAAATTATGCAATAAAATATCTATCATTGCACTATAATAAAAATTTATTTGATTAATTATTTGATGTATTTGGATTTTTATGTAAATTTTATGTACATAGCTAAGGCATTGTATCAAACAAGGATATCTCAATATCGCATTGTTTTTCCGTAAATGATGAACATGTGGTGTAGATTCTTCGATTGCGTCATCAATATAGCAAATTTAGTTCTAAGTTAAGAGAAATTAAACTAAATTATAGTGTTTTGTCATTCTAAGATTTAGTTTTCTAAACTCTGGCAAGTAATCAGTTGATTTTGTTCTGTGCATAGTATGCATATTAACTGACTTGCATCCTTTTTTGCCTCTGTGAGCATAAGATGGTTTTATGGTTCTCTATATTCTGTGCAGCCC